GACTCACCTAACTCTCCAGTTCCACGGATAGTATTTTTGGAGCGATTGCCACCGGTCATCACCCCATCAGCGGCCTATTATTTCGTGTCGATCACCGGTCACTGCCACTATAGTTCAGTTATGTGCCGGCACGGTTCGCAGGGGATTGTGGTATCATCCTCCAGCCACTGCGGGACTGGTCCGGTCCAGGCTGGTCCGGTCCGGGCCGGGCCACTTTTAGTCCAGACACGGCCCGAGTATCGGTCAGAGCTCAGCGTCCACGTCTAGACGACTAATGGAGTGTAACGCGCCACTTCGATCGGCCGCTGCGGCATAACCACGAGTTTAAAAACGACCACCGGCGGTGCACTAACTTTGGATGGTGGAAGTATATCAAACGCATGCGAAATGGCACCACTAAACAGCGTCCGAGAAATGTGGCAAATTTTGATAAATAGCTACATATTTCCTCATTCATTAACCCGCGACCGCCTGGGGGGGGGGGTCGGATCCGACCCCCCCCTCCGTTTTTCTTGAATAACTCATGAACCACCTTCGCTATCTACTTGAAACTTGGCATACCTTCTCCCCCATCAATTTGACGTCTCCTGTGCAATTTTTAAGAAAAAAATTCCAATTTTTTTTTAGATATATCGATTTTAGTGATGTAACTACATGGCGTTTTTAGTAAAAAAATGGTAAATGTTTAAAAAATCGCCAAAAATCAGGGTTTAAAGCAAATTGCAAATTAAGGACATGAAAAGACGCAGCTCAACGAGTTCTTTAAAATGGCTATCTCGGATTTTCCATAAAATGCGTTTTTCACCCCTAAAAATTCAAAAAATATATTTTTTGGAAAACAGCTAATAAAATCCAAAATTTTAGGAATTTCCAAAAAAACGGACTATATGTTGTAGAGCTCTATTAGAACATTAGATGCTCCAAATTTCAACTTTCTATCTTGATTTTTGACCCCAAATTGTAAAAAATAGCTCCAACATGTATAGGGCATGGTGACGTCATAAGCATTTTCGTGAATTAGAGGTACTTCTGAACATTGCATGTGAAAACAAATGGCACCACTAGATTCCTGGGACAAAGCTCGTCTAGAAAAATGCATTTTTATGTCAAAAATAAAAAGTTGAAAAATTGACCTTTTTTCTCAGCCCTCGTATAGTATAAACGATTTTTTATGCTTTCAATGCACACTTATCACCAGCACAGTGACTTGGGGTCACATATAACCATTACCATCGGATTCGGCGTGAAAAATAAGCCATAAAACATGTGTCGCACGCCCATGTAGCAGAAATTGAAAACCGTGACCTTTCGTGACCTGACCTGACCTTGACCCGTACTTAGTATGACCCCTATACACACATGGTACCTTCACTAGGCCTTTGAGGTCATTTTTGGTGAGTTTCGAGCAGCAGCTATCGATTCCGCTGTCCGTAAGCCTAATCATGCAAAACCCCTGAATTTGACCTTTGACCTGACCTTGACCCGGAAGTTGACCTCAATCTTAAAATCTTAAGAGTGCTTTGGGAAGGTCTCGTAGAGACCTTTCGAACGCCGCCTCGCGGGGCTCGATACGACCATTGGTTCTCGAGATAACAGGGGGGGGGGTCGGATCCGACCCCCCCCCCCCCCGGCTGTCGTGGGTACGGAAATAGCCCAGGCGGTGCCGGGTTAAGCACAAGAAATGGGTCATAATGTATAACTCGTGTCTAAATATATCTCAGATCCGGATATTCAAAGCCGCCAGAGACGTTTCAACATATGCACTGTTCAGCATATGTATGGAAAATGACCTGCAGTGGCTTATCTGTCGTTGTAAGGTGTCCATGTATCGTGGAAAAATTAGATTACATTGACGTCTGCAACGCTAAAATGACACGTTGGCGACGGGTGTGTCCTATGAATATGCATACAGACATGAAACGTGACACTGACGTCCAATTTGAAATGTCAATACTCTCTAATTTGACTTATAATTTGTCTTCACAATTTAGCCTTACATGCGAGGCTTAATAAAGAAGGACTGGCTTACTTCGTATTTCAAACGAATTAACCCAAATACAATGTGGTTACGGAGCGAGCGAAGCGAGCGGAGTCTTACGTAGAATAACGGAAATTTCTGAGTATGAGCGGCCGGCCGGCCGGCCGTGGTCACGCTTTTACGAGGCTTATATCTCAGCAACCACTTGACCGATTTACATGCGGTAATTTTTGTGGGGTAGCTTCATTCCTTCTACCAAGTATTGGACTATTCCCGATGCATGTGGGTGACCCCTTATGCACGTGCCACGTGCAAAACGAAGAGGTGTCACTTTTGTAATTGTTGCAATATCTCGGTAACTACTTGGCCGATTGCGCTGAAAGTTGGCATGTAGGTAGGCACCCACTAGGCACTGCATATCCATGTGCCAGAGTTGGGGTGCTGCTGCACGTGCGCACGTGCAGGGGTCGTTTCCAGATCTCGAGAACGGCTCGACCGATGGCGCTCAAATTTGGTACATGGTTAGGGACCGGTTAGTAGGGTGCCGTGCAAAAGTCAGTTGGGACCCATTTTGCACGTGCGCACGTGCAGGGTGCCGCTTCCAGATCTCGAGAACGGCTGGGCCGATTGTGCTCAAATTTGGCACATCGCTAGAGACCGGTTAGTAGGGTGCCGTGCACAAGTCAGCTGGAGGTACCCCCTCGAAATTTCGCACGTGCAAGGCTCACCCTCTCGCTCGCTCCGTTAGTCGCCCCAAAAGGCGCTATACTGGTCGTAACATGACTGACCATCATTCCTGCCTTCAAACAAAAGTTACAATAAAAGCCCTACTTAGAGAAACTTCAGCTTTACCAAGCCTATAAGAACTGCAAGGTTCAATCTTTGTATCTCTCTCTCTCTCTCTCTCTCTCTCTCTCTCTCTCTCTCTCTCTCTCTCTCTCTCTCTCTCTCTCTCTCTCTCTCTCTCTCTCTCTCTCTCTCTCTCTCTCTCTCTCTCTCTCTCTCTCTCTCTCTCTCTCTCGCCCTACAAGCACTCGTAGTAAGCTTTTAAGTTGTCGTTGATGAGCCTGCTCTACTGCAGCTACACCCCATCGACAGTCATAAGCCGAATAACTCGGTTCGTGCAGGGTTACAGTCGCAACTAGCAAGTACCGCGCGACAACACTCGATTCACGGAGGGGTACAGTAGAGGGAGAGAGAACAAGGGCGGCGCCACCGTGGGGGCAGTGGGGGCAGACTGCCCCCACTGGCAGGAGGCCGTGGGGGCAAGACTATGTTTTTGCCCCCACAAAATTTGGCTGATGTTGAAAAGGGAACGGAAGACCAGTGCAACATTCATGATAAGCGGTTATAATAGTACGCCTGTTTTTGACGGTCCCCGTATCAAGTGCATCAGCAAAACGTTCGTTCTCGGACCGTCTGTCGCATATCTCCTACTCCCACTCATTCTCCTACTCATGTTCATTCACCGTGATTGACTCCCGACAAATCATCGGCGTCACTTGCTGACTGTGTGTCCAGTTAGCGATGGACATTGGGTACAGACTGGTTGGCCTCAATCACCCTTAATCGTCGAGAATGGTCACGTGCTGACTAAATACCAAGACGTACCCGTATCGGAGACCTCTATGTTGCGGCGTTAGCCGTCTCTGTAGGAAGCGGGCTCTCTAGCAAAAGCTATTTTGTCTACAGAAATTAGTTACTGTGGAGCATATTGCTACCAGCCATGGCAACCACGTAAGCTCAGTTACGAACCAATTCCAGCGTGCCTTTAAGCAAGAGAGCCTATAAACGTAACATTTAGGTGAAAACGAACTTATGGGACACCCATCTCACGTGCTTTCAAGCATTTTTGGGATGTTTCGGTTGGTTTCAGGTTCAGTCCGAGCTCAGTCTGGGTTTCGGTGGTTTTGCCCGGTGTGTGCCCTCAGCTCCGTTCATCCAATTCTGGCCCAAGGCAACGCAAGAGCGCTGCCGGCATCTAGTACCTAATTAAGACATGTTTTCCCATCATTTAAATGAATGCTTAGAGCAAAATGGATGCCAGAATCGTGATCAGTGGCTACGAAATCATCACAAAGGACTTTTCATGTGTCAAAGTCAACCAAAGGTCATTCGAGGTCACATGAGTACCATAATAATTTTGAATGGCAACATCTAGGGGCAAGTTGCTCATGGATTTTGCAGATTGGCGTATCAGACAACAGTCGGGTCACCTCAAGCTTGCCCCCACTGGCGAAAATTCGTGGCGCCGCCACTGAGAGAGAAAGAGAGAGAAAGAGAGAGAGAGAGAGAAAGAGGGAGAGAGGGAGAGAGGGAGAGAGAGAGAGAGAGAAAGTGAGAGATCTTAGAAATATTGCTTGCGCCTTTTGCTCAGGCATGTTTGTTTGATAATTTATCAATTGCAAATATGCCAAAAAGTAACGTGCCGTTCATTAAACTTGGCGCACCAACATACCAAGACATTGTTCAAAATCTTCTATCCACAAGGCGGTCCGTGACCAGGTTTTCAGAGTCTCGGCGAAATTGGCCGCAATTCCGTGGAGCGCTGACACCTGAGAGGCTCTCTGTCGCTCGGAGCTGTCCGGGGCGACAGTCCGGTCCACGGGAGAAGTCTCCGCTGACCGCCCACACGCGGTGGTCAGCGACGGCCGCCACCACGCAGACCAGCCCCGCCAACATCCATTCGTCTTTGGCCGGCGATATTGCGTTCGTGTCAGCTGCGTCGGCAGTTCCGCACTCTCAGATCGTAGTTTGGTGCGCGCTCTCCCTCCCCAGCGGTCACGATATCGATATGTTCTGTCGAGCTGTGGAGGGGGAGCGGCAGAAAGTGTGGCATTTGGTTTGTGGCATGGTTTGTTTGGTCTAGTTTTCAAGTGCTGACAGTACATGAAATAAAGAAGCATCATTGCACCATGAAAATGTTCGTTTAAGAAGGCACATCGCCTCAAGTCTGGCAAAGTAGAACAAATAGTTCATAATTTCGAGATTTATTTCTGCTTCGGTGCTGCAGACAGTGGATGACCTAGAAAGCATGGCAGCCACGCAATGTTTTCCGGACGTCTTTAATGGCTAATGCAGTTCTGCAGTAGCGTGTTTTTCAGCAGTTCCGCAGCAATATCAGTACTATGTTGTCGATATCGGCGACTTGGTGAACACGGAGGTGCGACAGTCAGCCACGGACTTTTTCATTTACGGTCGGTGGGAAACAGTTGGGAACATGTATGTTTGTCTGTTGATTATACAAAAGAAAGCCGTTATAACGGAAAACCATTTAAGTCATCAATTGCACGCTTTGATCCAAGAGCACTCAAAACATGACATCAGGGCATCGTTTGTAAAATGATTAGGTTTGACTGAGCTACATAACTTGAGTCAAATTAATGACAATAATTGTGACATCTTTTTCTGCTTGTTCTATATTTGGGTCACATACATAACAACAACTCGTATAGTCTGAGGCACATGACTATTGGCTAATGATGACACATTTTAAGCACATGATGCATGCCTAACATATACAAGCACTCTTTACCGGCCTTACGATCGATACAACCATCAGTCTAAAGGGAGCAACTTTGAAGGCATGCGCTTGCCGGAACACTTACCGCTAGCATCACTGGTAACTATACTAACAACTAACTAAAAGGAAGCGATGTAGCACAAAATACTGCTGTGGGTAGCGCGGCGCCCGGCTACACTCATAAACTACGCTTTCCCTCGCCATTCATCTCCCTCGCTCTCCTCATTCAGTGCAATGATTCCCGTCTCACCCACTTTGGCTGGCCAAACCTTTTCATTTTCTCTCCCGTCCTCATGGATGCTCTACACAGCATTGTCCTTTTTAGCTGCCTTTTCATCTGCTCTGGAAATCACCAACTTATAAGCATTGTCACTTTTCCCTTTGGTTGGTCCCTGCGCTCACTCTCCTGCTCCTTGCACTCTTCCCTAGCTCCGTCAGATTTTCCTACTTCGTTGCAGCCCTCTCTCCGCGCACCACTTTCTACTTCGCCAACTCCACTTCTTTGTTTCTCATGTTCTTCACACAAGCTCTAGCCAGCATTCTCACCTCTCGCGCCCCTTTCATTGTCCTGCTGCTAATTGCGTATCTGCTCTGCCGATCCTTATCATCCTTTCCCTTCCCTTCCCTAATCTCTCTGTCCTTCTCTTTCTGTCCAGTTCTGATAGTGTTCGCCTCAGTAGGCCCTTCGGGGCAGGACCCGTGGTCCCAGGTAGGCTCTGTTGGTGTAGCTTCCGGAGGGCTCCACAAAACTGGCTCTGTTGGACACCTCAGTCACCTGAAACAAAACAGACATGGGCTCTGTAACATCCATATATCGCCATGCGGTGTGGAAACTGGATGTGGCTCCACTGCTCCGTTACCCGTGAAATTCAGCCTCTTCACTGCAGAATGTGCATCGAATCCGATTTAAACCGAAGCCTGCCCATTTTTCGACAACATAGCTCAATGGATTCTTCTGTGATTCCGATTTTTTGTTTACTCATTTCGGTTCACGAAAGGAGACAATAGATCGGTACAATATTACTACGCCTGTACTTTCCAGCCTATCCACTATGTAGGTAGGAACTACATGGGGGCCAAGGCCGCGAGGGAAGGTCGCGGCAGACCTCCTCCGCACCTAGCAGGGGGAGGGAGGGGGAGGGGACTGCGGGCCGCCGCCCTGCCATGTCACATGCATCCATACCAAGGCGGTGCGGGTGCATGTAATATGCAATAACTTCGGCCATCTGCGGGTGCCACCAGCCGTTTAGGGGACAGATTTAGACCCGATGCTACGCAAATTTGACAGCTGACACTACTGATAACAACGGACATGCAAAACGTTTACCTTGGCATTTATCATACTCCCTGGATTACAATTCGAATGAACAGCGAAAGCTTGAATTATAAAAAGACGCCCAACGTACGTACAATCAAATAAGCATACCTATGTCTTTAAAAAATCAAAGTCAGTTACCTGATATGAATTGAGGCGAATAAGGATTAAAGGGACCCTCCCACCTTAACATTAGTTTTCAGTTGAGATAGCCAAATTGGTGGCCATGGCCTGAAAATACCGGTTTGGGCATTCACAACATCGAAAAATGCTTTAATTCGGAGATATGGAATTTCAAACTTGCAGTTTTCGGATTCTAAGGGGCTAATGCATTGGTATGCCCCCTTAGAATTTGTGACGTCAGCGGAGATCTAACGATTTTTAAATCTTTTACTAAAACGTTTGGCAGCACGCGGTGGTATATGCTGCTTTGCGCGCAACAAATGCCGCACTTTCAAATAAAGTCGCTAGGAACAGCGGAGATCCCAAAAAGTAAACAAAAGTAAAAGTCTAATATCTTGAAAACCGGTGAATATTTTTCGATGAAATTTGGTACATATTCATTTTTGCTCTTTCTGAACCGAGCGACATCACTTTCATGCCAATTCATTAACTTTTTTGAAGGTGGGAGGGTCCCTTTAATATTTTTATATTTAAGGTTCATCCCTCGCCCATATAGGGGGGGAGTCGAACGGACCCCCCCATGGTTTTTCGCGAATAACTCGCGTAAAAAGCGGCCGATCGCGACGAAACTTTCAGTACCCTCGCGTTCATCAATTTAACACCTACCCTGAAAATTTCATGACCCTGACCCAAATGAACTTTGACCTGTGATCTACTTTTCGAGACCATGTTTGGCTGGAATCGCGATTCGGCGTATGTCGGCTCGCATTAGCCGCGCGTTTGCAGTCTTTTCGTGGTTTCAAGCGTTCAAACATGTGATATGATGTTGCCCCCATGCATTAGGGTGGGTGTCAAGGTCACCTGAAGGTCAGGTCAGGTCATTGACCTTTGATGACCTCGGTTCACTTTTTCGAGTTTTACATGTTTCTAGGCCAGTTTTTGGAGCTGAATTCGAATTTAGCAACCATATGAACATTTACGAAGTAGTTTTGGTGCCTCCGTAACATGTTACGAAGCTGTCTGAGGCGGTTGCCACCTACTACGAATACCCTTACTGGTTGACCTGACCTGACCTGACCTGACCTGACCTGACCTGACCTGGCCTAAATACATGAATACATCATCTGTGATCAAAACTAACATGATATTCGTGATCAGCACCCCGAAAAACCCCATAGCAGCCACACTTTACGACGTTCTAACAGGTCCCGATTTTCCCGCCTTTGGGGTCATTGACCTGACCTGCAAGGTCAACCAATGACCTAGGACCTTAAAATTTTGGGTATCATCGGCTTCCTCTCGTCACGGGCAACACGCTCGTTTTTTCTGCGAAGCTCTAGCTCGATCAGAGGGGAAACGGCAAGGGGGGTGTCCAACGGACCCCCCCCCCCTCCTTATACGTTCGCGGCTGGAAAAACACCAATACGGGCGAGGGTTAATATGCCGTCGCATCGAGCTTACTGATCTCAAATAGTATGGCCATGTATGGCTCCGCTCACGAATACAAAGTAAAGGAGCACACAGACAGGCTATATGTACGGTTCTCCAGGGTATTAGTCGTTGGTCGCTCGGCGAGCGGGAGGGCAACCAGTTCCGCCCCTGTATCGCCTGACCCCTTGCTCCGCCCAGTTACGCACGAGCGTACTCCACGCCGCGTAGTAGCGTGGGGAGGGGAGGGTTAGAATGGTGGCATGTGTAGAGGCTAGAACCGGTTTCCACCGCCATGCCACCGCCCAGCGACATGGAGCGGGGTCAGTGACCAGGGCGCAGGGAAAGGTCAGAGGTCAGCTTTAACGTAGAGCTTTGTGTCTCCCTCCCCTCCGTGTGTAACGACCGCACGACAGCGGCCGGCCGCCGATCAGGCTTGACATGTCAAGGTCACCCGCAGTCAACGGACTCAGAGGGTTGGTCGAGTGCGAGTCCGTGGCTGACGACAGTCTCGACCATGTGCTATGGTGCCGATACACTAGCGTGGGTAATAAGTTTGTGTTCAGTGCATATGGCTGCTGGGGCGTGTCCTCTTGATATGATGCTTTGTAACGTGTATGATACGCTTAAAACCTCGCTGGCAGTGGCCGAGAGGAGAGGGGGGGGGGGGGGGGGGAGGCGGTTGCCGCCTCCACATGTTTATTTTTGTTGATAGCTGCGAGAGCTGAAATTTGGCAAGCCTGACGTTTGATTCAAGCTGAATTTTTATGACAGCAGCTGTATTTTCACCCTCGCCCATATTGGTGTTTTGCCAGCGTCTATCGTAAAGAGGGGGAGGAGGGTCCGTTGGACCCCTTTGCCGTTCAGCCCCTAATCGAGCTAGAGCTTCGCGGAAAAAGAGCGTGTTGCCCGTGACGAGAGGAGGCCGATGATACCCAATTTTAACCCTCGCCGGCACAGGGGGGGGGGGGGGGTTGATGTAACCCCCCTAAGGTTTTTCGCAAATAACTCGCGTAAAAAGCGGCCGATCGCGACGAAACTTTAGGTGTTCTCGCATTGATCAATTTTACACCTACCCTTAAAATTTCATGACCCTGACCCAAATGACCTTTGACCTGTGACCTCTTTTCCGAGACCATGTTTGGCCGGAATCGCGATTCGGCGTATGTCGGCTCGCATTAGCCGCGCGTTTGCAAGCTTTTCGTGGTTTCAAACGTTCAAACATGTGATTTGGTGTTGCTCCCATACATTAGGGTGGGTTTCAAGGTCAGCTGAAGGTCAGGTCAGGTCATTGACCTTTGGTGACCTCGGGTGACCTCGGTTCACTTTTTCGAGTTTTACATGCTTCTAGGCTAGTTTTTTGAGCTGAATTCGAATTTAGCAACCATTTGAACATTTACGAAGTAGTTTTGGTGCCTTCGTAACATGTTACGAAGCTGTCAGAGGCGGTTGACACGTATTACGAATACCCGTCACAACCCCTACCGGTTGACCTGACCTGACCTGACCCGACCTGGTCTAAATGCTTAAAGACATCATCTCTGATCAAAACTAATACGATATTCGTGATCAGCACCCCGGAAAACCACATAGCAGCCACACTTAACGACTTTCTAACAGGTCCCGATTTTCCCGGTTTTTGGGTCATTGACCTGACCTGGAAGGTCACCCGATGACCTAGGACCTTAAAATTGGGTATCATCGGCTTCCTCTCGTGACGGGCAACACGCCCGTTTTTTTCCGCGAAGCTCTAGCTCGATCAGGGGTCAAACGCGAGGGGGGGGGTCGTACCAACCCAAGTTGGCTACTTGTGCTGTCGAAGGACGCAAAATGGCCTGTGCCGGCGAGGGTTAAGGTCCTAGGTCATTGGTTGACAGGTCAATATAACTCAAAAGTCGGGGAATCGGGACCTGTTAGAGCTTCGTAAAGTGAAGCTGTTAGGGTTTTGCGGGGTGCTGATCACGAAATTCAAGTTAGTTTTGATCACAGATGATGTTTTCGTGCATTTAGGCCAGGTCGGCTCAGGTCAGGTCAGGTCACATCTTACGAGTGAGCCAAAACTACTTCTTAACCCTCGCCCTGGCAGGGGGGGGGGGTCGATGCGACCCCCCCCTAAGGTTTTTCGAGGATAGCGTAAAAGCGGCGGCGCGCAGCGCCGCCAAATTTGGCACAGCCTATGGGGCAACCTTTTTACATATGACCTGAAAATTTCAGGTCCGGGTGACCTTGGGTCAGGTCACCAGGTCAGAAAAACCGGTACAAGGTCATGGTCAAATTTCAATTTTCTTTTTGCACCTGTCCAACTCACAATTTTGCACTGATTTCCTTCAAACTTTCAGGATGTGCTAAGGTCACCGAGTTGTATAACATATATTTCGGGTTTTTTGAGGTCACTGACCTGAGGTCAGATAGAGGTCATAACGTCGTAATGTTAAGCCTATGGGAAAATACTAAATTCGGAAAATACTGGAGATATCCGCTTCGTTCTATCACTTTTGTGCTTTGAAACCACAGTACTTAACAGCAGGTCACTTGGTGCTTCTTTGTTTGGTGTACTTATCCATGGGTCAGGTCAAATGAGGTCAACTGAGGTCAAATGACGTTTTTGCCAATAACTTGGCACACAATGACGCTAGAGCTTAAAAAATGGTATCATTGTGTTCCTGGTGATCAGCCGAATCGAATGATATGCGATATGATGCAATTTAGTTAACTTTAACTTAATTTATTAATTTAAGTTTACTTAAAATTTAAGAAAAACTTAAAGTACACTTAAGCAATCTAAAAAGTATATCATTCGACGCGCCTTGACGTGCTGAGTTCACTGGTGCTTTTCGTTTTGCTCTATCTTAATTAGATCAAAAGTTATAAGCGAAAAACTTTTGACCTGTTTTTAGCGAAATTTTTACATTTATACCCCCCAAAACCCCCCTAAATATTGACCTAGAGCAACCAAATTTGCACAGGGGCGAGAACTCCAGGGGGCCCACCTACCTACCAAATTTGGTGTTTCTAGGTGCCATAGGAGCCAATCGCGAGGGGGGGGGGGTCGCATCGACCCCCCCCCTGCCAGGCCGTGTTATGAAAAATGCCCTGCCAGGGCGAGGGTTAAACGTTCAAACGGTTTCTAAATGCGAAATCAACTCCATAATCTACCCTAGAAACATGTAGAACTCGAAAGAGTGAACAAAGGTCATCAAAGGTCAGTGACCTGACTGATCTTCACGTGACCTTGATACCCACTAGAATCCATGCGATCAACATCCTTTCACATGTTTGATCGCTTAAAGCCACAAAAAGACAAATAAAACGCGTTCTACTCGAAATACGCCAAAACGCGATTCCGGCCAAACATGGTCTCGGAAAACAGGTCACAAAGGTCTTTTGAGTCAGGGTCATGCAAATTATTGGGTAGGCGTAATATTGAATAACTCGAGGGTACTGAAAGTTTCGCCGCAATCAGCCGCTTTTTGCGCGAGTTATTTGCGAAAAACTGAGGGTAGGAGGTCTGTCCGACACCCTCCTACAACTGCGAAGGTTAAGGTCAGGCCGTTGACCAATGGCGTCAAAAGTGAACCTCTGTAAGGCCCCAAAATGTCGCGACGTCGCAGCACCCTTCGTGCCAGGGGACTTTTCAACGGGGAATGAAGCTTATATGATCTAGTACTATCTCCCAGAGGCCTCACAACTTGTATGTAGCTATCTCGTATTTTTCTTAAGAGTCACCTGAAGTCAGGTCGGTCACGCAACCTCACGATTATTAATCAATTGGGAAATATGAAAACTGTTATTTTGGTGCCGGGAGCCATCTAAAGCTGTCTCAAGCGCATGAATTCGCGATTTTATACAATTTTTGCAAGCCCCAGCATTCAATTTTCCATTCTTAAAGTTAGGCGACTTCATTTATGACGTCACTAAAGTCACAGGAGATTTCACCAAAAAGTCCCGATCAAATTGAGCTGGCGAGTCTGGAAGCCACCAGACACCAGTGCAAGTGGACTTGTAAGGACCTACCGCATCGAAGAAGCGATATGACCTCCTTGAGTCAGCCTCGTGGCCTGAGGGGCTCTGCCCTGACATGACCTAAGGTAAACACCTTAAATTGACCTCAACAAAAACAAAGCGTAAACTATTCGACGCGTTTGAGCATGCAAAACTCTTGGCTCTGTAACCACTTAAGGTGAAGTTGTTTACCAAAAACCGATCCCGCGACTTGGAGCACTTATACTGACTTCAGAGTTTATCGGTGGACCTGAGATATTCAACTCGGGTACCAGTTGCTGCATCTCATACGACGCACGCGCTCAGTTTTATCCGCAAGGCGCTAGCTCAATTAGGGGCAAAAAGACGGAGAGGGGTCGTAATCGCCCCCCCCCCTCGGCCGGGGTATATGCAGAAAACCCAAAATTCCGTTGAAGGTTAAGCACTGAAGTGATATATTATGATGCAAGAAGGTATAGGTAAAAACAAGTATGCACACGAGCGGATGTGAATTAAACTGTGTTTGAGGTATGCCTTTTTTATTATACATTCGATTTGCTCTAGTTGTTGGTAAGAACAGATACAACCAAGAATAGCGCCCCTGAAGAAAAGGTGGCGCACCGGACGGGTGCGATTTTAAGGTCCAAGGTCAGTCGGGGACCTCTAAGTTCGGATCAAGCGCTGCATGTTAGGGTTAAAACTTAATAAAAAAAAAAATAGGAGCAAACAAGCATCCCAATTTTGGCAGCATCGTCATGCTTTGTCACGGCACTCATCCACTCCTTCGGCCGAAATATTAGTTCCTTTTTGTATGAGTTCTGGCATAATCCCGCACATTATGCTGCATGTTGTTTGCCATGAAAAAAGCATGTTCAGCTACGTTCTACGCAGTACGCACTAGCCTAACCACCATCCCATCATCCACCAATAGCCACCATCCCGTTCTGTGATCCGTTCCACCCCACACGAATCAGCCGAGATACTAGTCAGTCGGGCTAGCGCTATCCTCCCCTCCCTTCCTTGACTGCACAGCGCTAAAACCCAGAGCCGAGACTTCCCGAGCGCGACCTCTGACCCCACGCGGTCCGAAGGGTCGGCCGATGCCTAAGGGCGCGCCGCGCGCCGGCCACCCGGATAGCCTCTGCCGAGTCTCCCTTCCATACACCGTTTACTACGCGCTCGATTCATTCATGATTCTGTGTTTCCGCGTCCCTCTCGCTAGGTGGCACCATGGATGTCATAGGCGATCCCAGGAAGATTGCGGCCAGAATACCCCAAACGGCAGAAAATGAGGTTTTTGGTGGATATCTCGGAAAGTATTTGGCATACAACGATGAAATTTCACAGTCTCGTGGTAAATGTGCATACACATAATCCGGGTTGATACTTATGCATTTAAACATTATATAGGACCAGATATGTCCGAAAAAGCAAAACCAACAAGGCTTTTACTGGAGAGCCGTACATATATGTAACATCCATTGTTCTGTTTTGCGTCCAATGCTATCTCCTAGCCTGTCCTCACTCCTCTCGTCTCCCAACCCGTACCTTCACCGGAGAGTTGGGGTTGGCGCGTGGGATGGACGGCGGCCCATCCCTGTCCAGTCCCGGCGAATGGAACAGCACAGCAGCGTCCTCCTGGGTGCCGAAACTGAGAGCCGCCTGGCTCTGTGGACCTCCTACCAGAGTGGCCACCGTCTGCAGAGGCGGGGCCGGGTGCCGCTCCGTGGCAAACTGCGCCAGGCTCACCTGGGTCTGGCAGGGAAACGGCACAGGTCAGGGGGAGATGTGGACATCAGGGGGTGAGCGGGGGTCAGGGAGCAGCAGGGATGATGCAGGGCTTTGTGCGGTGGCTGCTTTTGTGATACTAGAAGTTGACGAATTGACGATTGAACGTTTTATTTTTAGCTAACTAAATAGCTAACGTTTTATTTAACTACCTATGTTGCTGTCACTCTAGAACTTCAGGAATAACAAAGAAATCGACCCATCTTAATCAGCACTGTAGACAAACGCACCGGAATCAAACTCATTGAGCATTGCGATAACAGTGATGCGAAACTTGACCCTAAAAACGGACCACCACCAAGCAGATGCGCCATATCATAAGGCTTCACGCAATCCACGTCCCAGATAGCGTGTATAAATAGACCCGGACGTGGACGGCTCGGCGTCGATGGGCTGATGAATTAAGTCGGCCGGTCATTATCAGCCACATATCTCGGTGATAAAGAGCCGATCTAATGAACTGACCCGGCGCATGAGTGCTTCGCATATGAGGGTAGAAATGACCGACTGAATTGAGTGCTCGGTGATTGGGTTATGGGTATCCTCTAAGAGTTGTGCGTAGATAAAACGCATTGATGAAACATTCCATGGGACGACTCGTACATGGACATGGATTTGGTATTGGCGCAATTCTGATATAGGGGAGAGTGGGGCAATGGCGGACGGTGGGTAATGCCGGCCACCCATCTCTAGTGAGTACTTTGTCCATCACTAATCAGCTGATGTTGTTTACATTTCAGTTGAGCGCCATTCTAGCACGTGGTGCAAGTTTTGTCACGGTAGCTCCATTATTTTCATTTTTATAGCGTTAAATGTGTTTTTCGTATCTGATTTTTAATTTTTGTTGCATCTATTTGCTGACTGTGAAATGTGTTAACGCATTTTCAGAAGTGCTGCTTTGCAATGACCTTCAATTAAGCCTTTCTTAGGCGACTGCTGGATGTGAGGCGTTTGCGGCGCAATGCTTTTGACTGCTGCCTGCTTTGTTAAAATAAAGCTGACCTCGGGGTAATACCGGACACGTGTCCGGAATGACTCCACGCGGTTTTGTTTGCGACTTCTCTCGTTAAAGCTCAACGTTTCGGGTTGCTGTGTTTACGGCTGTGTTAGTTTGCTTGCTGTGTTAACGGTTGTGTTAGTTTGCTGCTCTGTTGGCGCCGCGCTGTTGTGTTGCAGCGAGTGCAGTGTTGTGTTGCAGTGCAGTGTACTGTTAACTGCTGAATACAGTTGTCGTTTCTTAATTCTCACTTAAATTTCCATCGAAAGAACGGTTTAAGGATGAATACCAGTGACGATATTTCGACTTTTGTGCTATTGCACTTAGTGGCCGGCATTGCCCCTCGCTTTTTTGCACCTCCATTTTTCACCACATTTTTGCGTAGGCTCTGAATCTGTCATCAGTGATCTGAGATACTAAAACTGGGTGCTATCTGAAAGCCTATTCCTTTGGCTATAACCACAGTCAAAATCACCATAAAATAGCTTCAAATAGCTAAGCTATTGAGCAAAATGCTTATGGTGTCGCCATTGCCCCACTCTCCCCTAAATCAGTAAATAAATTTCTGTAAATATCCAAGAACGTGACGCGGCTGAAAGGTTTACCGTACCGAGACTGATAAATGATTTATCGTAACAGTGCGAATTATAACATAACATGCCATCATTCTGAGCATCACCCTTCGCTGCAGCATTTAATTAACTACCTACTAACTTTTCCCGAGCCCTCCTTCCTTGACCGACTGATCGACGGCGGCATTTAACCGGGAGACGGTCGAGGAGCGGACCCCACGTCAGGGCCCATCCCCTGCCAATTCACCAGCCGCCGCCTTCGGACACACTCCGCCGCCAGCTCCTGTTCACACCTATTAGCGCTGTGTGTGAGATCAATGTCACCCTCCCGCGGGCGGCATCAACACCTGCTGGGGCCGGACGGCGATAGGGGGAGATTTAAGGACGGTTGGGTTAGTCTGGGTCGATTGGTGAAGGTCAGGCATGACCAGTCCGCGGGCTTGCGCTGGTTGATTTGGCTTGAGATGTGCCCTGCCACCACTGCATTAGGTGCCAATACAGAAGCGCTTTATCCTGACTCAGCCCGCAGATCCATTTCAGAGAACGGAGACGAATACGCCGCTAACGAAGCCGACTTTATTTTCGACCGAGACCAGAAAAAGGCCTGGAATCTTCTGTCTTTCTCGCCTTTCCCATCAAATGTCTCTATCATGTCTTCATCCCTCATTCCTTCCCTGCTCTGTCCTTCTTCGACCCGCTTCCCATCCCTCTCCCCTTTCTTCCCATTCCCTCTTTCTCCCTTGCCCTGACACTATCCTCGTTCGTCTCACCCTCTCCCTAGTCCTACCTTCTCCCTCCTCGTTCCTCACTCCTGACCCTCTCTCCTAACACTCACCAGGTAGACTGCCACCAGTGTTCCGATCAGGTATCCCACCAGCAGGTCCGCCCAGCGCACTTGGAACGCATTCAGGCTGCCGATGCCGGGAGTGACCCCTCCCAGCAGGCTCAGGAAGACCAGCAGCGGCCGGGGAGTGACCAGCCGCCTGAATGACGTCATCCGGTGCATGTAGGCGGCCAGAAAGACGCCACAGAAGGCTGCTAGTGCGCCGTGCTCAGAGGGGAAGCTCTGGAGCGCGTCTGTGAGCGCCCGTGGCCCCGCCTGGCAGATGGTCTCCGAGGGCAGGAACATAGCCGAGGTGTTTAGGTGGTCGGTGTAGATGTCGCCACCGCAGGCGATGTAGAGGGCGGTGGCGTTCGGCTGACAGGCCGCGAGGAAATGTGGCCGAGGCACGGCGAACATGTATTTCAGCGTGAAGACGAGCACCGTAGTCAGAAAGTAGCCGAACAACAGCGTACCTGGAAAGGGAGATCCACTGTCAGGAACCGAAAAGAAAAGAGCTGATCTACGACCAAATGAATCGAAACAATCGACAACATAACAAAATATGATTTTTATTTAACCTCGCTCGGTCGAAAAGCACCATGAGGAAAGCAGTCAACTCTCAGCATTGTCAGACACCTTCTCATGGGATGTTCTACCAATGGACCAGGACTAATGACGTCATTCATTTTTATGGCAATCATGGGGTCTTTGATATTACACCCCGGACCGAAATGCCTTAACTATCGTTGTTCTTTTTATCATATCGGTAACCATACCACTTTAGATTAAAAAGCGATAGGTAGGTAAATGGCGCGGAGTGGTCACGCGTTATCAATGCAGCTTGGTCATTGATGCGTTTATGATAAAACTTTTTAGAACATACGACTGCCCGAGAAATTGACATACAAACCGCTCACATTTTGCCAAACTACAAGAGCTCCGAACATTGGACCAAAGACGTTCTGAAAAACATTGGTAAAACGTTGGTTCTTATCTAATTAATCATGTTATTGCATTCTACACTAAAATGCAATTGCAGCCTTGTGGTTCGATATGGGTTGTGGTATTTTATTACGTCAAAAACAAACATTGCGCATGTAACCTGGCCAAATACCACGACCTTGACCTATGTATGCTTCACTGACTGCTGCTGCTTTAGTTTGACACTCAAGTGGACAATCCCGGCCAAGTTTGTGACAAAGATACACAGTGCACCAAGTTTTTTTATATTGGCTAGCCTCTATATTTTGCATTTGACCTCACCATGACACTGGCCAAAATTCAACTTTTGATGGCATTTCTAATATGACAAAAGCACTCCGCTAAATGCCCGTCGCCCGTCCTCAGTATCCTGTTGTTATGTGAGTCGGCGCACATTAACATCCGGGCACTCAGTCGCCACTCCACATCTGAACATGGCCTTCAGACGAGCCGACTCGCGTCTCCACTCAAGTCCAGCGTCTGCCCTCCCACTCCTCTGATAATCACCTCAAACGAATACCGCTCCGGTATGTCGGAGCTTTAGGCCGTCTGCTGTCGGCCTGCTCTCAAAACAGGACACACGTGTAATCTGAACAATGACAAACACTCCCTCTGATATCCGTATCCGAAGTTGTGTGGGACGGGTGTGGGTGGACTTACGAGTTTGTTTCGAGCTTTGATGTAGCCTCTCCCTGCCTACGATCGAAAATTGAGCCAATCTTCGCGGGAAGGTGTGGGTGGACTGCTCATTGTTTTCCGGTGTGTGATATTTCCGCTTGGATAAGTGCACCCACTTTGCAATTGTTGAACGATGGTCCGTATCGAAATCGCAATGCGCTTATGTGTTTACTTGCGACTTAGCCAATCATAAATCATGACTCTAAACGACCTTACAGTGTCGCAAGATAAATCACGAACGAAGCTTCACCTTGCGCTGCGGTTCTGCATGCCTTTGATGCCAGCATCCTCATCAGTTAGACACGTGCTTATTCAGCACACGCACATAACAATATATGGAAGAATAAGACAGGTAGGTACTCCATATTCTGATATTATCAAAGGTCAGGTCAGCAGTAAAGGTCCAGGCACCGCCATGGTCAGAGGTCAGTTGTGTTTTGTTAATTTCAAATGGATATACAGTTAGCGCCTCGTTTCATCAAATTGTTCTTCCATGCTACTTGCCATTACGTAATACGATACGAACATAAAGCTTGTCTTGTAGCATAATTAAAAATCAACAAGACCTGGTGAGGAGAAACTGAAGTTTGAATCAATTATCAAACTGTAACCTTTCAACATCGCTCTGCTGAATCGCTAGGTGTTTCCAAAACAATTTGTAAACGCAGCGCTGCCTTCTCTTACCTACGATTCGGATGACGCGCCGCGTGAAAAAGTGGAATGTCCAGTTGGGACAGGCGGCCACAATCGCCTTCTTGCTACCTTGGTAGAAGAACCAGTGAATTATCTCGAAGAATATAACCTGTAGATATAAGGTAGCATCATGTCAAAACACAGATTTAAGTCATTTTATTAGTAGGTCTATACGCTGACATAAAAACAAATATAACCCATTTAGCTACGGTACGAGATTTAAGCATACGAGTGAATAACATTAGGTACATATGTACTACGGATAATCTGAGATCGAAATATCTCAACGAGATAAATTATCCGCACAATATGCAAAAACAGCGAACAAAGATCATAATTAGTTAGTGCTTTCAACTGAACGTAGATCAGGAAGTATAATTAGAATATATGACCTTCTCCTCGGAACGTAAATCAATAAAAAAAGCACATTTTTTGCCAAAATCGCTTGTTTTAGCAGTCCCTTATGTGATAATCGTGGCTGATAGTCAAAGGCTCATCGCCAATACATGAGATAAGCTCATCGTCCAACCGTTAGTATTTAACTTACTATGAGAGTAGGTATGAAGAAGCAGGCGGTATAGAGGCCTGGGTCGGTCATACTAAGTGGTAGACCTTTCGTGTCCTGGTAATATGGATAGGAGATCCACTGGATATCTGTGCATGGCAGTGGATACCGGCGATCTTTGAAGTTGTCCAAGTATCTGTGAAAAATAGTTTGGTCATATTACGTCTTTTTATACTGTGCAGTGTGCAGTGTGCATGGTAAATCAACAGCCCCTGGAACTGAACGCCTGATAGGTAATCATGAAAGCACATAACGTCTCTTCCATTCTCTCTCTCTCTCTCTCTCTCTCTCTCTCTCTCTCTCTCTCTCTCTCTCTCTCTCTCTCTCTCTCTCTCTCTCTCTCTCTCTCTCTCTCTCTCTCTCTCTCTCTCTCTCTCTCTCTCCCTCTCTCTCCCTCTCTCTCTCTCCCTCTCTCTCTCTCTCTCTCTCTCTCTCTGTCTCTCTTTATATCTACATCTCTCTACCGCTCTTTATTCAATCTCTTTTTCTCCTTTGGAATTTCATGTTGTGCCGAGACATAAAATGCTACTCTTAAAGTATGTGCATCGAAACGGCACCTGTTCGACAGCACTACGAAGTCCCACAACGCGTCGTACAAATCGTTGGAACACCATGACGTCTTTGTTGCTACGTCATGAGGAAATTTCCTAGGGCCGGCACAACGCAGTGCAGCGCGGCTCAATGCTAAGTGACGTAAGAAAAACAAATCCCAGTTGGTATCGGACACTCGTAAACGAAATCCTTTGTTGGAAGAGCTGTCACTCACTTGAGATAGTAGAAGATGACTGCTAGACAGCCTGTGACGACTGTCTCCAGCAGAAACAGCGGCACCAGCAGGTTGTTAGACTCGTACTCTCCCATCCTTAGAGATGGAGGTGAGCCTGCTTCACAGCAGGAGTGTCTGGAATGGACGAGCGGAAAGCATGGCTGAGAGATGTATAATGGTTTCGCGGTATTTATTCGCAACATGAAACAACAAGGGCAATACATCAAAACAGTGACCTCCTTCGATGTGAACCTTTTCTGGAGAAGTGTATAATTATGCGACGAAAGTGACAATGAAAAGACAAAGATGAGTGCCCTACATACAGCGATCAACAAAATATGTCCCAGCAAACATGCCCACATGGTTCCCATATGGGGCCCACATGGGCCCCCCACCTCTTCCATATGGGTCCCACATGGGAATGGCAGTGGGTGACACGTGGGACCCATATGGGCCAGCCCACGTAGGCCCCATATGGGACCCACGCGGCGCCCACATGGGACCCATATGGGTAGCCCATCTGTAGCCCATGTCCCACGTCGGCCCATCTGGCCCATGTTCACCCCATATGGGACCCACATGGGATGCCCATCTCCAGCCCACATGCGTTTGGCCCATCTGGCCCATTTTTATCCCATATGGGGCCCATATGGGTAGCCCATCTGTAGCCCATGTCCCACGTGGGCCCATCTGGCCCATGTTCACCCCATATGGGACCCATGTGGGCATGTTTGCTGGGGTGTGGGGCTGCACTAATAACATTTATTTCGAGCCTGTAAAATACTGACCTTTTTGTAAAGAAAATCATTTATAACGGGGCAACTTTGAATCAACCTATGACACTTTATGATACCGTTGCCTATTACTTACATAATTCCATTTAAAACGGCCCCATTTCTAGATGCTTAGCTCTACGGAAAAACAAAACAAAGTGCACGACAAAAATAGCATTGAGCAAATTGCTTTGAAGTGCCATGACAGAGGGTTCATTGTGCCGTATCCGCCTGTGCATATATAGAACATGAGGGCGACTATCTCAGTGCCTGTCGATCGATACAAATCGACACTTCAGGTCCTTGAACCGACCCCACCCAGCCCTCCATTGATAGATGGGTCGTGCGATGGTCCGGTAGCTGACCACAGTAGCCGATCTGAGTTTGGTCAGTATCGCAAATAAGGTATCGCACGGGGATATCAGGTGTACCCTTCGGTCACATATTCCTGACGTAACTCTCCTGAGGAGATTGCAGTGAGTGTCTTACCACAGAGTGAATCAGAGCATCGTGACGATTCATTGAAGATTACCCGACAACAAATTACCAAAATCATTCATTTTTACTCTTATGGCACACTTAAAACCAAGATATTTTTAATGGTATAAACTGCAGTGCATATATGTCATATTTGGTCTCATATTTCAGAGTTTATCGTTTTCACTAAGGTCAACATTCCATATAAGCCTAGAAACAAAAGTAATAAAGTTTGATATGGACGGTGCTTGCGCTTCCTGATGCTTGGCGCGCATTGCACAGTTATAGGCTGCAACATTTAACCACCATTCCAACTTATGCAAAGCTAATATTGCGTCCTTGAACAAACCAACTTCAGTATTTCGAAAAAAAATACCGCTATTCAGCAGCGCCACCGAGGTCGAACTGAAACTGCCATATCGCGCAGAGACCCGCGTATTGCAGCAAGAGCCCTGACCGTGACGCGTTGACATGTCCGCGTCGGGGCAATCCGCATCCGGATCGGTCACGACCCGTGAAGCCCGCGGAGGCCCGTGACGCCTGCCCGTGACGCTTTGGGAGCGAGCTGGACAGGTGGCGAAACAGCAGGGTGAACGGTGCTCCTATAAACGGACGGCTGAGCTGGTGGATGGCAGAGCAGTTGTGGACAGCGCAGAGTGCAGTGGCAGCTAGCAGTGTGCGCTACCTGAGCTACATATATCCCAGAGTGGTGTGTGACTCAGTAGTGACAAAGAACAGTACCAGCAGCCGCCATGTCGCCAGTTCAGGTGTGTGTCTGCGCTCTGCTGGTCAGCGCTGCTGCAGGACAGCAGCACAGCTCTACCGGCTCCCGGCTGGCCAGCTGGGCCCGGGACATAGCCGAGAGTCCGGAGCTGGGACCCACGGTGGAGAAGGCGCTCTCCCGGGCGCTGGGTGTGCCCCAGCCGCGGCTGGCCGGACTCGGCACCGCTCTGCAGGGGCTGCTCGTGTCCCTCACCCCGGGTGGCCTTCAGGCCAGCATGGCCGCCATAGCGCCTGCGATCGCCACGGCTGCCTTCGTCATCGCCGTCATCACCCTCTTCAAAGTGTCTATCCTCTACAACAAAATCGGACTGAACCCGTTCGAGACGCTCTTCGACATCTTCGGTCTCGGCCTGATCAAGCACGACCTGGTCTCCGAGTACGACGGTCGTTACGAGCCGACTGAGTACGTCCATCACGTGCCGGAGTACGACTACGGCTACAGCCAGCACGGCAGCAGCTACGGCCACCACGACCTACACGGTGACGTGGTCGGCTACGCCCGCAGCCACGACCAGAGCGTCCACCATTCCGGACATGAGAGCCGGCACCGCGCGCCCACTAAGACAGTCAGCTTCAGCCACGACAGCAAGCACGGCGACAGCTTCAACCATGACAGCAAACACGGAGACAGCTTCAGCCACGACAGCAAGCATGGTGACAGCTTCAGCCATGGAAGTCAGTACGTCGAAACGACCTCCAAGCCCGGTCGCGTACTTTTTAGCTAAATGAGGAGCGGTATTCAAAGTAATGTTTTCTTCGGCTATTAAAAATCTTATTACCATAACATGTGGGGTGGTCGAGCTGCATTGACATTACAACTGCACTATTCATTTGTAAATATTTTGTGAGGACAAACGGGTTCGATGGTAGTGCAACGTTTCGATGGTAGTGCTCTACAACTTATGGTGTGCATGCCTAAACGGCTAAGTCATAGTTCACTTGGAATACCGATCAGGACTCGAGTTGTTGAGTTCTAGCGACTCATGGATTTGAAATTGTCACATTTTAAGCTGAAACTAATGAGCAGCTTACGTTCCAAGGGCTCATGACCATGACATGAGTCGGTAAAACATATGGGTACCATGTATGTAACCGTACAATGTATGTGAGTACCTAAGCTTGTCTTTCACCGCGTACTGTGCGATGGGCAATGTGCATGCATGTTTGAATACTGCAGTGTAATACAAAGAAAGTAAACAACCTGCAGGATTATTGCAACAAGTAATGTTCACAACACAACGGCTAATGTTAAAAACGCAACAAAACCTGGCATCTGTGCGAATGCGAAGACCTTGTCCAGACAGGCATTCCATTACACCGCGAGCTCCAAAAATGCGTGGCGACCTTCGTGCTTTCGCCGAGGGGCGGGTGGGGACAATACACTGATTACGGTAACTGTACGCACCTCGTATGCCTGGGCTTCACGGCGAGTGACCAATAATGACCATGCAACTGCAGGCTGCCAGTGATGTTACGCCAAAGCTGCATGGATCAGGGGGCAGAGTGCAGACAGGTGATATTGCATAATTCATAACCGTGTTGAAATTAGCTAACACGTCAAAACGTAGCCGTTCGCAACAACAGCGATAAACATCTTCGTTAGTGGCCATTTGCATTTGGTGACTCCATTCGCCATTGTTTTATGTAAAGTGCATGAGGTAACACGTACATGTCGAAAGCATTGCAGATATCACTCTCTCGGTATAACACTTGTGTATTGTATTTCCATGCTGCAGAAATGAATGTATGCGTTGAACGGTGATATGTCATATGATTGCATATAGTTAGGTAGGCATTCGGTAACGGTCAACCCAGCAGAAGAAGCAGAATGCCATGAAAAAATGCCGATAGTAGAAAGTAACTGCTAGTTTCAAAGCTGGAGGGTTCAAACCATATTCTGAAGCTGTATAATTCATCGATCCACATCGAAATCGAGTTCAGAGTCTTAGAGATATGTAAGTGCTGTTTTATGCTTGCGTGACATAACGTCTTCATGCAAACACCGCAAGTTGTGACGGACGTGACGATAACGGTTAAATGCGTCCTCATTAAAATTGATCACATTCCACCAGTTTCATCCTCGGCGCTAAATCTCACCTCGCTCGATTTGTTTTCACACATCAAGACGGTCCACTTCAGGTAGTGCGGAACTGTCGCGGCGGTAACGATCGAGACCCGACAGAGCAGAGATTGCCGCCATAAACAGCGCTTCCATATCGCACACCGAGCTCCAATGGCCCCTCGCAGATACGTACAGACGCCGCACTGCGTAAAGCCCGGATTACATGGCAATAAAACTTCGTTAAAGGTCTCATGTTCTCACACTGACGCGGTCTGTACGGTGTCTATCTATGTATTCAGCAAGTTTAGTACACAAACATGGATAATGAGTCAAATGCGCTTAGATGCTTTCTCAAACACGGGCCGAGATAAGATAGTTTTGTGATATACGATGAATGAACAATGAACTTGCTTCGGAGATGGAACAATTCCTCGACCCTGAACACCGGATCTAGCGAAAATTGTCCCCAAGTCACATGGCTGTTTAGTGAGGGGGCGTATTGGAGCGTTGCGTCGTTGACCTTTGTTGCAAATCATGTGATAGCCTGCATCCGATTACATAAATTTTCATATTATAATTGCGAGAGTGAAAAAGGAAACGAATCCCGATTCTGGATTCTTAATCAATCCTCAGTCCTGCATGAACTGCCTTTAACCGCACCTGTCGCGGCGGAAGGGGCAGCGGCTACTGCAGAACGCTATCTTTCAAGAGTTCGGTTGGTCAGATCCGCGTGTAAGCCATTGGAACAGAGTGCCGTTGACACAGGTTGGACAGGGCCACGACACGGTATTCAAGTGGCAATCGATATCAGTGCACTCTTTCGGACAGTACGCCGGGCGAATGGCTGTGGGGTCTGCCTGACTACTGAGTAGCGGACCACTTGGGGACTGGGAATTGAGATGTGGACTGCAAGTGCAGAGCCGTCGAGATAACTGAGTTAGACGGACTTAGAGGACTGAGTTAGACGAGTAGTTAGAAGGCTAGTGGGTAGTTTTGTCGTCCTGGTAACTAAAGAATATCGCATCTAGTTAAACCTTTCCTAACTCCTTGGATTTCTAATGCTTATTGACATATCCTTATATCATATCTTGCATACTTAGTTGCATGCATCGATTACATAACTAGGTATCTAATTCATGCACATGCAAACGTACTAGCCGGCTGAGAGGAGGGCGAGTGCAAGAACCCTTGGCATTTCGCTCCTAATAAAGCCAGAGTTTCGCTATAGTAAACAAGCGTCTCTAACATAGCGACACACAGCGAATGGTAACGAATCATGACAGGCGGTGCAAATATCGCAGAACAACCGACCAACTGCACGCCTCGCGGAAACAAAGCGTGTATGCCGTTACGAGACGCAGCGACTTGCACCTGGTTTTCTATGTAGTTGCAGACCAACCACTTACCTATACATATGAGGTAAGATCAACCTTTTTCAGGTTGGGGTCCAATTTTTGGTAAACAGTTTGCCAAATATGGTTGCAGAGCCGCATGCATATCGTAGCCGTGATTCTCAGGCACGTCAAATATCTTACGTTTTGTTTGGGAAAGGTCAGTAAAAGGTGATGACCTCAGGTCAAAGTCAGGTAAAAGCTGTTCAGGTTACGAAGCTGGTCGAAAAAAATCATATTGCGTGTCTGTCAATTTGGCTGGTCGTTTCGAGTCTATTGACGGCTTTCTCGACTCGCTTGCTCAATCTGATCGGAATGCATAACAAAAAAGTCCGATGGCTTCAAATTACCCTAGTGACGTTGCATGTACCTAATGTGTAAGTTCCTAACGCTAAAATGGAAAAGCTAAACATCAGATCATGTAACGAGTGCATGGAATCACCATTCCATGTGGTTAAAAAGTATCCAATCAAGTTAATTCTTGGCAAAATAACAGTTTCCATGTTTCCCCTAATTGACTTAGTCATATGTTCAGGTCACGTGGCTCACTACCTCCTGCAAGCTTCATCTTGCTGCGGAGGATTCGCTAGCACTTCGAGTTTGCGTCGAATCTGCGACATTTCTTTGTTGCAACGTGCAGAGGCTCATTTATAACGTTGTATAGGTCAGTGACCTGACTTGACTTAAAACTTCAGTTGGAGTCACAAGATCTAGCTGATATCAAAGGTCAGGTATACCAGCTTTCAGCTTTGAGGCGCTTATGGGCCTGAGCACTCGTTAAAACACCATAAGTAGGTGGCAACAACCCTCCTCGGCCGGCGAGGACTAACGACATCACCCTAATTTTCAGTTTTCCCGGCAAGCAGCTATGTAGGAACTCTCTTGCAATGGTCTAAGGCAGCCGATTAACTAGTGTCGTAAACGGGTAACAATAGCCTCTACAATTCTATCCGCCATTCATTTACGTGACACACCTATATTTCATGGTTTGAATCGACATTTGGTCCTGAGCCTGCAACATGTCTCTTAGTGTATTCAGAGTAAAAATCGGTACAGAGTTATGCGACACCGGTCGCTCACCTCGATCCAAGAAGTGTTGCTGTCGTTCCCTTCCTGCCGCCACCGGCGTCGTTCGATCAGAGCACACCTCTGTCACTCTCACCACCGGGCCACCACTCTGCTCACCCTCCCTGAGACGCCTGCTCGCGGCTGACTGGCTGCCCACCGTGACGATCTGAACCGTCACCCTCATCGGGTCCTATCTGAACAATGCCGGTGCGTCAGTATCGGCCTCTTTCGGACCGCCCCCGCCGCCCGGCCGAGCAGACATGGAGGCCGCCGCTGCCGCTGACGCCGAAACGCACGCCAATCACACGGGCTTCTATCAGAGACGAGATAATCCGCTCAGATAGCTGGCGCAGCTCGGCTCAAACGCGGCGCGCGCTGCGCCATTGCACGCCGCAGAGTAAGAGTGCAGCGCGCGCGGTGTGCATGCGCTATGCTAATCCGGCCATGAGTTTCGAATCGAGCCGGAGATGTCAGTAGCATATATCAAGAGTAGACGCATCCGGTTCGACAATGTGCTTACGTCTCTTGGCTGCCGTTTGGTGCGCAGGAGAAATATGATGTCGGCCGTTGACCTCCCTCTAACCGCTAAATTGCAATGTTGCTTCAAAGGACACTTGTGATTCGACAAGTCGACAAGTGTCAATTGTGATTGTGTAGTAGGCCTCTTTCAATTTTCCATAATGAAATGCAATCAGCACTGATTGCTGCGAAGTGTTTTGGCCGTGGACATTCCGCATTCTCTTCATTGATTCATTATCACTTATGGTAGTGAGGAACACTAAAAAGAACTGATAGCTAAAGATTAGGTACCATTTGTTTGACTTTAAACTTGTTCTGGGGAACGTATGTCTTTCTTAAGTGTGTTTTACGGGATCAAACATGAATTGGTGCACTTACCGAATGACTGATGACAAGGGCAGAAATCAGCGATGCAGAATAACACGGCATATTACGAACATTACATGCCATGGGAGTTACATAATTGCTCTTGAGTTCAATGGCAACTAAAGAAATATCTCCATCTTACGCAGGACATATTTTCTCATTTCTTTTTTTCATGCCATTATGGGGTTGATCCCGGAGGAGGAGGAAACAGTTTTTCCACTGGTTGGAGCCATGGCGGGCCATCTGCCGTCTCACGCCAGTCGATTGGCTGACCTACCTGCGGGGCGGCCCCCAAAAGCTGACTTCTGCCAATCCGAATCGGTGTGGAGAGAAAAAAAAACTGTACGACGAGTGCTGAGCCTGCCGTAGAAAAACGCTGGAAACATTGCTGCGGTCCTGTCAAATTAAAACTAACAAGTAACAACTACCCTCGAAATATATAATAGACAAATACATAAGGTTGGCGCCAAGCGAAGTGGACGCGGGGATCAGCTTCAATAGAAAGAGACACGATTGGTGTCAACCATTGGCAAAAGGGCATTGCAGTCTCTCATTGTCCTTGCATAAGCCTATACGTGCTGTTTTGCTCTTATCTGGGGGATAAAGACTCAAGATGCAGCTGACAGAGCATAGACAGTACTATCGCCTAAACACACATCCGCTCTTCAGCTATCGGTCAGTATTCTTGGAGACCAATTCAGCTAGAGGCTAGAGTGTTCCGGCCGGCTGTCATGCAAGCGTCAACTCACAAATCACTCGGTTGTCGAGCCGCAGCGCACTTCACGCACATGTTGAACTTGGTATGTCCGCTTTGCAGTGAGCGATATAGGTGTGACCGACCCCCACCGGACACGATTTGGTAGCCGAGGTCTGTGACGTCAGCCGGGCGTGAAGTTTTCCCTTCACCATAGGCTTCACACACAAACCGGCCGAAGTTCATGCCAGGATAGCCCCGCTTGAAAGTGCAAAAATGATTAAATTTTGCCCTCAATAGATTCATTGCTTCATTTTATAACTAAAAACGTCCGTTATTAGGACTCAATGAAGGTAAAAAGTACTCAAAATCGAAGTTCAAGAAGATGCTGTCCGAGCACAATCTGGTAACATCACGTGACCTCTTTTAACCCGCGCCCTGCTGGGGGGGGGGTGTTTGAACACCCCCCCTTGTGGTTTTTCGCGAATATCTCAAAAACGGCGGCGCGGAGCGCCGCCGTTTTTGGTATACCTTATCACACATCAATTCTACACATGTTGTGAAAATTTCAGACCAAGGTCATTCAAGGTCAGGTCACCAGGTCACTTGAAGTGACCTCACCTCATAAAAACTTTCAATGTCTGTCATAGCTACACCGAGTGACCGATCGCTTTGAAACTTTCAGCGATTGCTAAGAGCAATAGCATGTACAAAATGTATATCTCAGAATTTTGATATCGATGACCTAAGGTCAGGTCAATTTTGCGACCTCCCCATTATAAGTCAATGGGAGAAAATTGAAATGCGCCTCTTTTGGATGAAAGACATTATAAACACTCCCAAACACCGAATTACAAGTGGTTTAGACACACTGAACTTGAAAATGGTGTCCGTGACCCTTGTTTATGCCCTGAGGTCATCTTAGGTCACGAATGGTATCTATCAGTTTTTCGCAAATAACTTTTGATAGAGGCATGCTAGAGCGATGAAAACGCCTTAGATGTGTTCAGCTCGACGATACGGATCGACTGATATGCAACATGACCCTTTCCGGTCAGGTCATGACCTTGACCTGAGGTCAAATTTTCAAGTTGACCTTTCAAGGTCAAGTTATAGTTCATTCGATGCGTCTTGACGAGAGGAACACGATGCCGGTAACAGTAAGCTCGTACAAGGCTTGGGTCAAAAGTTATTGCAGAAAAACTGTTTTCGAAAAAATCGGCTATTTTTGCAGTTTTTGCCCCCTGCAGGCAAAACCGTTGACGTTAGGTCAAATCTGAGAAAATTATTCAGAAAGGGCGTTAATAGGGCTATCGAATGCGCTTTTCCGCGGCGCTGTAGCTCTATTGGTTCCCGAGTTATGCGTTGGCTTCTTGGAAATTTTCGACATTCGACCTGGAAATCGGCGAAATTTTGCCTTCAATGACCTCTGGTGACCTGACCTTTGACCTGACCAAAAAATTGACCGAAGTGATTTCGTCATTATTTTTTACGCTCTTTCGAACGCCGCCTTCCGCGTATCGCTACGTGGCCCAGAAGCCGAGTTACAAGGGGGGGTGTTCAAACACCCCCCCCCCCCAGCAGGGCGTGGAAATCCAGGACCCCCAGCAGGGCGCGGGTTAAGCAAAATGTATATAATTCAAGGATGTTATTACACGATTGCTGCCTAAAACATCATAAATAATACGCTTGTAACATTTATTGCTTCTGTTTAAGTCATAACATTGCGAAACGCAAAGTTTATCATGGAAGTCACGTGACCAAAGGTATAGCAGGGGTTGGGACAAGCACTCAAAGGATTTCAAGTTTTTTAATTAAGTTATATAAGTTTCATGATGAATTTGATAGAATGTATTTTTTCCGAATGAAATACAAATTTTCGTATGTAAAATATTTTTCTTATGGGCGAAATTCTCCATATAAGAAATGTCAGTGACGTCACCAGGGCTTTACGTGGGCTTTACTCAAAACATCGGACCTACCTGTTTCTTATAGGTATCTTGGGTGTGACATTCCACACATCTACGCTACGGAGAATCGTTCTAGGAAGTACAGATAGATGAGCGCAGAATTTTCAGTACATTAATGCCATGTGATTGTTGATGAAATGTTTGCAGAAAGGAAGGTCAATTGAGACGAGCACGATTGTTAGATGTACGAGCATACACGGAAATGCATTTGGCTTTTCATGTGCGTCATCCAAAGACGATATCCTGTCTCCAGAATATCGAGTTCGAGAAGCCGCGATGGGTTGATGTGTGAATTACTAACTCAAGCTCTTGATCACCGATGACCTCGGGGGTAAAGTCACACATCCAAATGTTGGGTTCCCTTTCCTGAATATCGTCAGAACTCAGAAAATGGATGAATGCATATGTAATCGTGTATGTAAGATAGAATAAAAATTCTGTCACAATCCTTTTGTCGTAATTTCACTGTCCAGACGCGTTGAATGACATGCTGCCAAAATAGTTATGGGCGATTGCTTCGCACACATTTTTAAATAACTAACGTAAACATCACCAACAGCAATGACTAATTTGGTATTTGCAGTTTTGCTTAATAAGATATTTGCTAACTGCATGTCAAGTTTCTGATAGCGATGACGAGCATATACAAACAGCTTGTAGCATGAGGAATTATTTATGAGTGTTTGTCTTTCATGTAGCATGTTGTGAAGGCAGACCAAAGATACCTACTTATTCAGTAATTACGTTGAATGGATACCTACACTCTACAGTGTATTATCATGAGCCAACCATTCCCTTCAGCTGGATGTCTGTCAGACGCCAATTCAATACACCATTTGCAGTGCATTACGCTAATGAATACCAGCGGCATTGGCAGCACTGTGCTGCGCAAACCCGCCCCGGTGAAATATCGCAACGCTGTTTGCAGTGTCCCCACCAGTCCATTAATGGCGTTGACTGAAGTCAGCTACAACAGCAGCAGTGCTCACCCTCGTTTCGAGCGATCGACTTGCTGACATCCAGGTAACGCCTGTCTGTGTCAGTTCGTGGTGGGCGACTGCTGTCCCTGCAGGGCGTGTTCAGTCGGCTCAGAACCTAATGAATAGCAGGTGTTCGGTGAGGTGAACATTCAGTATTTTGATCTTGCTTGCATTCGAAGCTGTATATTCTATTCAGTTAATTATTTAGATGTATAATTGAAGCAACTTATAACATCTAGATGTTTCAAGATATCGAGGACAATTGTTGAACACCCGTGTGCGAGAACAGCCAACAGTTGACAACTCGACTTCCTCGACGAAAGTCACAGGCCAGAGAAGACTTCTAAAACCTCAAGGTACGACTTCCGTCACCGCCAGCGATGGCACGCGGCATCCACCGTCTGCTGATGCACCACATCCTGATGGTCGGCGGGTGGCTGACGCTGACGGGGTTCCTGGTGCGCCGCCCTCCCGTCTGGCTGTGGGCACTGCGCACCGTACCGATGCTCTTCCACCTCCTGACAGCACTGGGAGCCGTCAACCTGCTCGTCCACCTTCCCAGCAAGGTGCGGGTGGTGTACGGTTTGGCCGTGTACGGGTTCTTCGTCCAGACGGCAGTCGCCCTGGTGGTGCTGCTTTTCGGACGAAGTGAGCTGGACACGCTGGAGAGGCAGCTGGAGGGGCTGGAGAAGATGGCCACCTGTAACTCCCCGGTGCTGCACCGCAAGATTTT